CACAGCAGCGAAGTCTCCTGCAATACCTGGCCATATAACTGACGATACTGAACGTTAAACCAGCTCGGTAATCGCCCGCGTTACCGTGAACCGTGCAGGCTGTTGGGAAACAGACAGATTGCGAAAAGTCGGCGATCGGAACCTGCTACCCGCTTTCTGGCATCTCGGGTGTAGCAAATTGGCGACGGCTGCCGAAGATCGACGAGAAGAAGACACAGTCAACCAGTCAGCAGCAGCAGAGTTGCTACCCATTCTGAACAGAGGAGGCAGATGTTATAGCACGTCAGAAAGCAGCTACTTTACGTAGAAGAACTGCGCTCATTTCATCGGATGATAACGCGGACAAAGAAGTGATTCACATGGCACACTGTCATAATAAAGTTACCTAAAGGATAGGACAGGTCGGATACAGACTGTGAACAAAAGGGCTGAAACAGTAGTTCTGGCACTATCACGCTAGCTCTGAAAACTAGAACAGTGAACTATTCCGTCTGTCGGGATAACACGAAAGAGGAAAACCTGCAGAAGCTGCTATCCAAGCGAGACAAAAAATAAAAATGGACATCGAAAATTAATGAAGAAATAAATACAAAATCAATGCAATGGAACGCATGCAATCATAAGCAAGAAACCGCAAAAAATTATGAAATTTAAATTTACCTGTCAGGAATGTTAGCTTCCATTGCGAACAGAGCTTTCGTCCAAGTGAAAGATTTAGAGGTAGACGCTTCTTCATCTGACTAAATGAAAAAGTTCAAAGAAGGCAAGCATTGAAAAGGTCTTTTTCAAAATCTTCTAATTCCATTTATAGCTTTATCTGTCGATTTAATTCGCTGAAAACGCTGGTTTAAGTCGTTCTGATTTAAGCGGATGAAACGTTGAGGGGAAAATAAAATAGGACTAAGCGACAGTCATTCTATTTCATGTAGAACGCAAAAGGCTATTGAACATTCAGTGAACGAATCTCATCGACAATCCCAAAATAAGTTCACAGACCTGTATGTCTTATACAGAAACTTACCCGCTGTCAGGAAAGGAACCCAACGACTGAAGAATCTCTTAGTCAACAGAGCAGCATCTATCGAAAGGGTCCCCGGCATAAGAAATGGTGATAAAACTCACTGTGGATGATTAAGCATTCACTGGAACCGATACAGACATCGAAATTATCCGGCAACAACCAAGAGATTTGGCTAAGATCAAACGAAAGTAACAGAACGGTTCCGCACTTAAGACTCAATAAACATGTCGGTATAAAAAAGAACCTCCATTTCCTTAATTTATTTAACGATTTTTCATTTATGCGCTAGTTATATAAAGCAACAATTCTATACTTACACCCGAAGTTTCTGACGTGGATATTGATTTGTGTTGACAACTGCGCGAAGGCATTCTAAATGAACAAACAATATTTTTTTAAGAAAGTGTTAAATGCCCAAACACTGAATTCATGCCTCCAAAAAAAGCACGAAACACGCACTATGTATAATTCACCAAACATAATATTGGTTGGAAAATAAATGTTATGACCAAATACTCTGAGTCAAAACCCAAACGAAACCTCTAGGGAAATACTTCAATGGTGCCTTAGTCAATAACCACCCCTTCCGCTCAGGTTTACAGTCGAGGGAACATTTTCTAAATACAGACTATCGATTTTGATAAACACTACATAAAACGGAAAAATGACGGAAGAGAGAAAGACGGATAATACGAAGCATGGATGGGAAAGTAGCATCGTTTAAGTTTCGAGCTAATGGAGACGAAAAATGCAGTGAAAAAATATTGCCATAATTGGGAATTAATGGCTTCATTCATATGGTTATAGGATATCATTTATTATCACGCACATAATTTATACACCGTGATAAAAAATTTATTAGCTTAAAATAACATCTAAACCAAAATTTATATTACGAAGTAACAGATCTTCATCTTAAGCAAACTTTGTTATAGTTATAATTGTAGAATGACGACTATATCCGCTCCGCCTCTTAAACAGAAAGCAGGTTTACAGTTGACAAATGACAAAATAAAAAACGTCAGAAATGACAAATGTCATTATCCGTTCAGAGAAATGACGACCTGTTTATAAAAGCCTGAAGAACATTTCACAGCATGTTTCATGTTTGACAAAACCAAACGACGTGAAAGATATTTTTCATAATTTCGTGACAGTGAAACAAACATGTTCCCGGGCTTCCGCTTATTTCCTCCGTGAGTCTTCATGTTTCGTTGAGGGGGTTGATTTCATGGTGAAGTTTGTATAAAGTCATCTTTGGGACTACTATGGATGAATCTGTGACTTCTGTCTAGGCTGTGCTCATGGCAATATGAACAATATTTCGTTTTGCCTGAC